GGGGGGGGGAGTAGTTGGTTCAACTCAAACCAATTACAACAACAGAAACTTTAACTTCATGATAATAGCGATTAAACACTGTAATTTAATTTTAACACAAACAGTAAAACTTATTAAACTTTACGTTGTAAGCCAATCCCCACAACAGTGGTCTTCCTACAAAGACAGCACGTGCTCCAAGTGCTAAAGCTTTCAGTACGTCAGTTCCGGTTCTAACACCTCCGTCCAGATAAATTTCACAACGCCCATAAACAGCCTGAACTATTTCCGGAAGTACTTCTACCTAGAGAATAGATTATTCTTTCACGAAATAATAATAATAAATATATAAATAATATAACACAAACAAATTATAATTTTTTAAACTCTGAGTTTCTTTGTTTCCACGACAAGGGAATATCTATTATGCTTAATATATGAGATTAGGATTAGGCTTATTACATTGTTAAACACTACAATCTTTACCTAGGGAATATCAAGTTGAATACCTACAGTCTAATACGGTACTTGCCCACCTACATTTATGAATTTGAATTTTCTTAATGACAATAAAGAAAATTTGAGTTTTCGGTGCTAAAACCACATAAAAATAACGAATAAACCACAGCTTTTGAATTTTCGCCGACATCAATTTTTGTTTTCAACGCTACCAAACATAAAATTAATGTATGAGCTAGAGCTGTTTTCTACACGTTCTTCTTCTTCTTTGATAAGACTTTTCAAAAACTTATGAATTGGGGTTTCCCCTAAAAATATCTAATTTGTAATTACAAATGTTGTTGTTGTTGTACTTACAGATGCAGGTACTCCGTCAAGTTGCCGAGCTCCATGATTTGACACCAATATCGCGGAAGCTCCATGTTCCAAGGCCAACATGGCATCTTCAGCTAAAAATTAATAAAATTATATTTTATTGGCTCTTGGTCTAATATTGTTACACTAGCAAGTAAGCAATCAGTGAATTTCTTTTTCAGTTTTAAAATGTAATCAGATATCCATCTTGATTTCAAACAAAATTGGAATAGTGAATGGGAAATACAGCAAACTAACTAAGCCAGTATGAAGGACTGTTTCACATTTCCCACGACATTTCTAGCTTTCCATTCGAACCGTAGTAATTTTTATGTGTCTAAGCCAATAATCTTGCATCACAAACTGTTTCTGAAAGTAGTCTTCAAGTGTGCATTATAGTCACTTCAATTCTGTGAACTTTTTATTTTAAAAAAGTGATATGTTTCATAAAGCTCCTTAGAACCAGCGGAGTTTCTAGGATTTTTTTTTATATATATTTCAGGGAGGAGTTTGGGGAGAAAGAAGTGTATCAGAAGGGGGTTAACTGTCATTGGATATAAAAAGTATTTAATCTGTTCTTTTTTTTTTCAGAAAAGCCAAAATTAATTCAGGCTGTCTTTGCACAACATCGCGGCGGCCTGATGCTGTTTCAAACTACCACTAAACCCATCCCTAAGTCTCATTTGATTGGAAACACTTCTTTGGGTTCACGTTACATAGTATTATTAACAATCTCAAGCATAGGTGGGAGTACAGGAGGGGGGGGGGGCAGAGGGATCAGTTGCCCTCACTATTTTTCTGTTGAACATAGTATACACACAACATTCGCAATAATTAAATCACTTTTTTATCCCTTCCCCACATTTGGGTTCCATATCCTGACCATGGTCCTAGGAACAATAAATCTGCATGTAAAAAAGTTAAAAATTGAAATTGAAACATAGAAAATATGATGAAAATGTTCATTGTTTCTTTCTGTATCATGAAATTAGTTAATTGAAACAGTGGTTGGAAAATGTCATCTTTCCAATTTTTATATTCTCCGCGAAAAATAGAACATTGAAACACAGATGGAAATTATTTCCTTTTATTAAAAGCTCTCAACGGGGACACGCTATTCAGGTTCTGAGTCACAAAGTATGGAAAACTCAAACTAAGCACGTGGGGGTATAGCTAATGTGATGTTTTAAGTGCGTCAAACATCTGTAAATTCTACCAAGAAAATAATACGTACAAGTACGACGTCAATTACACGCACCGCTGTAGCGACAGGTGTGCTTGTTTATGGAAAGAAAATGCTAAAAAGTATGATACGAGTCTGTAGGTTTAGTTATTCTAAACATCAACATAAGAAAGGCGCTGCAAGGAGAACCAACAACCATAATTTCTCAATCGGAACATCGCTCGGGTTTTTCCGTCGTAGCTAGTAGTCTCTGATGTAATAGACGAAATAAACATCGATTTGATGGACTTTAGTTATTCGCCTCCAGTGAAAAAAAAAACACGTATTACCACGTAGAAAGATAGATCAAGTGAAGTTAGTGAAAGCTACATTTTTCAATATTTTCAATAAAACTGTTGTACTGTAATCATGTTTCACTGCTTAAAATATATCTTTGTAATGAAAACTGGAAATTACCAATGATTTCAAACACATTACGAAAGTACTATCTCTAACGTGAGAAAATCGTCCAAATTCTAATCCCCTTTTTTTTTATCACATCCTTCTCGTAAATAAACGTTTTACGTAAGATATCTCAGGTAAGATTACTGCTATTTCTTTCTGGTCTCTATAGCAATTTAGCATTGTTTATTTCATTTAGTAAGTGTAGGTTGTGTATTTGTTTTAATTCAAAAATATTATTGCTTATACCCAATGAATGGATTTAGTGACAACACACACACACACATATATATATATAAACTAAATGTGGTTTATTTGAAAGGATAATAACAAAATTACCCCCGAATGCGCCAATTTTTGCTCACTGCGTGGCTTTGTCGACGGGGAGATAAACCGTCTAAAAATGTGCACAATATTTTATTACAAGTTTTTCTCCATTTATAGCTTTCAGTTTTCTGGCATGTCCCCGTTGAAAATTTTTAATGAAAGAAAAGTAATTCAAACTGCACTAACGTTTCGATTTTCGATTTTTTTATTTTTTATTTTTTTGCGGAGAATATAAAAATAGGAAAAATTGTAATTTCTTACCACCGTGTCAGTTTTCTGATTTTATGAAATACAAAATAAAAAGAAACTATGAAAATTTAAACATTTTCAAGTTTCAACAGTAACTAAAAAAAATTACAAACTATAAATGCACCGAAAACCCATTTTCAGTTTCACTGGTTATAAGGCACCAATTACTAGTTATCGAAAAACAGTTATTCGGAGACAAAGGAAAATGTCTAAAACACCACTTCCATTTATATAAATTTTTAAGCACAGTTGCAAAATAGGTCATATTATTCAGTGTTAAACTGATAAATTCATGTTTCATCCGAAATTTATATCTAAGACTGTTATTGATTTTGTCTTAGAGTTAAAACTATCTATCATTACCTTTACAAAAATCACAGGGTTTTGCGTTGCGTTGGCGGTGGATTACTATTATTATTTTGTAGGTAATTGTTGACTTTCTTTCGTAACAGAAATTAAGTGTCTTTTCAGGACGTAGATTCATAATTCAGAAATATTAAGCTCTATTCTTTATAGATAGACCAGATTTTCCTAGTCCTTTTAAAAACTTTATACCCCTCCCCTCTCCATCCCTCGATTTCTGAAGAATTAAACAAAAAACTACTTTCTTCAAAAATATTACAGTTCAGACTCATAAACAATATCACTTCATGGACAAAAAGAGGTTTTCATGCAAATACAGCTTTGCTTATTAATTTGTTCGTTAAAAGCCACGTGGCTTCATAGTGTTGTGTAAAAAGTACAAAGACCTTCCATATTTCAGCATCCACCATCAAAGGACACTTTCTTTTTTAATGAATTAGAATAAAAGTGAAATAAAAAAGATCTTAAAAGTATAAATTAAATGGTTACATAACATCTGTAATTAAAGACATACTATTTTTCAATTGTTTCTTCTTCTTCCAAACACTTTTCAATCGACCGCCATTCCTTCATTTCTCATTGACTTGAAACTTGGCAGGGTTATACCTCAGTCTAACACGTTTTTTCATTTATATTTTTATTTAGACCTTTTTAAGGATTTTATGGGATGAAAGGTCAAACAACTCAAAATTTTATATTTTTAGCCCCTTATATTTTAAAGCAATCAAGATGAAAATTGGAACAGATATAAATATCCATGCGCTAAACACAGACGTAAAAAAAGTTAGATTTGCCCGTTTTGAGTCTTTTTAGGAGTCAGATTTCACAGAAAACATAATTTTGGGGGCTTTGGTCAATTACTCGGCCATATTTTGACAAATTTAGATGGGATTTGGTACAAAGGTACTTTTTTACAGGTCTCATACACATAGATACAAAAATCTGTGACATGCCCATTCTTGGTCATTTTAGGGGTTTTGGTTACTTCCATGGCCTTGTTTCAACCACTTTACGTGAAATTTGGTACAAAGAAACTTTTCCACAGGCAACACACATTAACAAACAAAGGTATTGGACATGCCTATTTTTAATAATTATAGGGGGGGGGGGGTCAACATGACACAAAAAGCATAATTTTAGGTTTTTTGGACAATTACTTTGCCGTATTTCGTCCAATTTACATGGGATATGGTACAAAAATATATTCTTGCAGGTTCCAAGCAGTGATATAGACAGTTTTTGTTTTTGATTTTTTTGTGTTTTACACGATTTTTCTGGTGTCAAAATTTGCTTTGGTGGGATTGCGAGGAGGAAGCATGTTGCCTTTACCCGCGAATGTTGTCTTCTTTAATTATGAACAGGGATTTAAATTTTATACCTTATGGAAAACAACAATATTCACTCATTATAACAGTCAACGACAAATTACCAGTAAGAATCCCCTTGACTACCAGAGGAAGTTTTGTTATTCTTTTCAGCCACGAGAGGTCTTTCCACGTGATGGAGGGATCAAACAGGGAAGCAGCATACTCGTTTAAGCCCGATTCCTTTTCGGCCTCTTGAACCCTGTTGGACTTTATATCTAATTTCTCAAAGTTAGCCATCCTGTGAATAAAATATGGATTTTTTTCACTCCAGATTTTATTCTCTGGGGTTAAATTAAAATGTCACCATCACTTTATTTCAGAAACACTATTAATGAATACTTTATGAAATGTATTCAAAGTAGTTCTATTTGTGAACCAAACCAAAAATTTTGTCTTACTCTAAACATTTTTTCAACTTTCTGAACCGTTTACTCTTATATTATTCAGATGTCGCTGACGTTTAAAAACCTATTTTATACATATCGTAAACGTTTACATTATCGTTTTATATCGACACACAAAGTTAAAACACAATAACTAAAAATTTACATTACTGTCTTACCAGCTGGAGTACCCATCCTGGACGGAAGTTATATAAATTATGAAAAGCTGACTTTACTAAATGAAAAGTTGCCTCCCTTATATATATATATGGATCCAACGAACTTTCATGCCAAATTTGCTGAAGATTCATCAACAGGGGGCGAAGTAGTGGTAAAAAACGCCCATAAAAACTGTAAAACGCAGAATGCAAAACTCAAAATTTGTTCGTACCTCCCCATGGATCCAAGAAACTTTCATGCCAAGTTTGGTGAAGATCCATCTACAGGGAGCGAGGTAGTGGTAAAAACCGCAAAAACGCCCATAAAACGGCAAAATGTAACACTGAATATTTGTATTTACCCCCACATGGACCTAATGAACGTCCATACCAATTTTGGTGAAGATCCATCTACACTCTGCGAAGTAGTTACATGGACATACAACAGACAGTAGTATTATATACACCTGGAAAAAAGTTAAGCACCCCCGTGTTTTTTTCAAGTGATTCAGATTCGACGTTCTTGTGACTGATTATAAATTACCATTCAATCTAAACGTGTTTATCAAATGAAATTATGCATTATTGGGTACAAGAAAACAAGATTATCACCGTAAAATAACAATTTTTAATTTACATATCATGACATCAAAATATGGACAG